GCCAGACCTGCTGAACTTTTCCAGCAACTTTGTTTTTGTTCCTGATTTACAGCAACTGCAGTTCTTTTGGTTTTTATTTAGTATGTAGGTACAGCAGGTCACTAGGAATGCTAGTAGAATGTTATCATTTGTCACAAGGGGAACTGAATACAAAAGAAGGGAGGTCATGTTTCAATTATACAGAGCACTGGTTAGACTGTATTTGGAGAACTGTGCACAGTATTGGTCATCTTATTTATGGAAGAATGTAAATGTATTGGAGGCAGTTCAGAGAAGTTTTACTAGACTGAGACCTGGAATGCGTAGGTTGTCTTATGAGGAAAGGTGGACAGGCTAGACTTGCATCCATTGGAACATAGATGGTGACCTGATTAAAACATATAAAATCCTGAATGGTCTTGCCATGGAGATGTGGAGAGGACATTTCCCATTAAAGTAGAATTTAGGACTGAGGTCCCATTTATAAATCAGGTGTCTGTTTAAAACAGAGATGAGGGAAAACATCTCACATAAAGGGTCATGAATTTCTCCCTGAAATGATGCTGGAAGCAGAGTCCTTGTCTATGTTTTAGGCAGTGGTAGATAGATTTTCTTTATCAAGAATTTAAAAGATTATCAAGGGGGTGTGGAAATATGTAACTGTGATCACCCATGATCATACTGAAAGGCTCCCCTGTACAGACTGACATCCCAGCTCACCTGTACAGCACAGGACTACAACTCCCCTGTACAGACTGACATCCCAGCTTACCTGTACAGCCTGATACAGCAGCTCAGCTGCACAACTTGACAGCTCAGCTCCTCCCTATTCAGAACCTGGGCTTTGTGTGTGTGTGTGTGTGTGTGTGCGTGTGTGCGGAGTCTTCCCAATACTATGCATAACAAGTCTAAACCACCTCACACTTTGTTGGAATAAATTTTGTTGCCATTTCCCTGCCCACATTGTTGCCTTTGCGCTCTGTGGGTTGTATGTGGAGTTTTGCAAGTCTCTTTAGGTCTGTTAAGACACTGCGTTACCTCCTATAATATGAACTGCCATTTTCTTTTACAACCTTGGGTTCTTATCAAATGCTTGCTGGAAATTACATTCATTGCAATTCCAATTTCGTATCATTTGCAAATTTCAGCACCACACCTAATGCTCACTGGTTAGTCACATGGTTAACCAGGTCACCATTAGGATCTGGGAACAGATTCAGTCAAATTACCTTTAGCTTGTTCCTGCTCTGAAGGAACAAAAGAAACCTGAGTCATACATGGGCACAAACCACCAAAACAAAATCCAAAACTGGCAGACTGTAACTTTAATTAAGTCAAAAAGACAAAAATGGATGTGGCAATTATACTTGATCTTTAGCCACAACCTATTGCTACCAGTGGAGATGAGCAGCACTTGAGGTGTTTAAATTTGAATTTGATGATATTTATTTCCTCGTGAAAATTGAGCTAAGAGACTGAAAGAGAACCAACTCCAGGATAACAAAGAGCTAAAGCCAAATGAGAGTCTGGAGAAATCCTGCACAATTCATTCAGAACCAGTTATCCTAAACCTCTTACTTAGGAACCAGTTTCTGCAGGTTTGATGATGACTCAATGGGAATTATATAGATAAGTTTCTTGGAAATGTGTCAAGTACAAATATACATTGCACCTTCTAACGTTTAGCTGAGAACATGAAAGAAAAATGGCTCCGTTACTTTTGAAGATGCTCCTATACTTCAGTGAGCTACAGAAACCCAGGGTTCAGTACATTTCCAATGAATGTCAATATGGATTGACATCAAACCCTATTACAGAGCAATATACAGTCACACTGGAGAAGGGAAACGCCTGAAGGAACAGGCTGTCATCAAGACTTCCTCCTTTTGTTCTGGGTTCATCTGAAGGAATTCATCAAAGTAGTGCATCAAGAACAGTTAGTCAAACACTTTAAACACTTACAGCTTTTAAAAAACAACACTCAATCAGCAAGTTGTTTAGCCTTCCACCATGAAAGAGGGGCTCTGAAAGTGACCGATGTTAACAGCATAACATGGCTTTCTGTGGTCATTGAAGCAATGTAGCATGTCTTCTGTTCTCATCGGTGTGCCAGATACAAATTGTGGAAGGGGAACAACAGGAGCAGATGTCAGGAGCAGACCATCAGAGTAAGGTGCAGCCACAGCTTTAGATGCACAACAAAGCTCCCTCTGATACAAGAGCTGGACAACACTGTGGGTCTGAAATGAAAACAGAAAAAAAACACTGGAAATACGCAGCTGGTCAGGCAGCATCAGTGGAGAGAAATGCTTTTGGACTCTCAACAATGGGTTCAACAACTTTAAATTTAAAAAAAAAACGCAGATTGAACTCTCTGTGCTTTCATTTTCATTTTGCTGGTTTTGCTCTTCCTTTATCCTTTCATGTTGCATTCAGCTCAAACATGAGGCAGTGTCATCCCAGTAATATCACTGACCCAGTAATCCAGAACTCCAAACTAATGCTCTGGGGACATGGGTTCAAATCCCACTATAGCAGATAGTAAAATCTGAATTGTGAGGGTGGCGGGGGTGAGTGGTAGAAAAAGGCCTGGAACTAAAAGCTAGCCAAATGGTGACTGCTGTCTTAAAAACCCATCTGACTCAGTAATTGCTAATAGTAAGCCGGGAGAGAAATAAATGCTGAATGGGTGCTAATGGGAACTGTGAATATTTGAAAATGAGTTGGATGTGCTGTGAGGGATCAATACAGAGCAGGACTGAGGATGTGGGGCTGGGTAATGTATATGAAGTGTACATGAAATTGTTAAACTCAATGTTGAGTCCTGAAGGCTGTAAAGTACTTAGGCAGGAGATGATTTGTTGTTCCTCCAGCTTGTGTTGAGCTTCACTGGAGCACCGTGGCAGACCTGAGATAGAAATGTTGCAATAGAAAAAAGGTGTGTTGAAGTTGCAGGCAACTGGACACTCAAGTCCATTTTTATGGCCAGAGGTGCTTCGCAAAGTGGTCACCCGCTTTACGTCTGCTTTGAAGAAGGATCACTGGACCCAAACTGTTAACCCTGCTTTCTCTCCACAGATGCTGCCAGACCTGCTGAGTTTCTCCAGCAATTTCTGATTTTAGTTCTGTCTACGTTTGCCTCCTCAGTGTAGAGGAGAACACAGAGCTCAGTGCTTTTTATACTTCCTGGTTTGCTGTCTGTGGGAATACATCCATGAGATTGGTTCTCGTGCCCAACTTGATGACATCAGTATCGCGGGAAGCGAGGAGATCCGTTTGATTTGAACCGATGACAACGAAGGAGAAATCCACACCACAGACCTCAAAAGTCCGGGCCTTTAGTTTGGAGGACAATTGGGAAGGATTTTGTGGTTGTGTCCCCACAGTTCCAGAATGTTCCACTCTCCTCCCTGACCATTGCCCATGAAGTTGTGTGTTAAACTGTTGTGTGTGCTGTTACATACTGCAACACCGCCCTCGAGTGGCAGAATACCAGCACTGCACCACACTGTAGAGCTGCTCTCTTATTCGAGAGAGAGCGATGACTGGTGGTGATTTAATTCAAGGGCCACTGTACCTCAGGTGAGGGGAGAGTTTGAGAAGGAGATAAACTCAGCTGGTGCAGGAATTGAACCCACCCTGTCACCGTCGCACTGCCTTGCAAACCAACCGTCCAGCCAACTGAGCTACACTGGCCCCCACAGCAAAGTGAAACCACCTCCATCAAACAGCAGTTCCCACTGGTTCAGCCCTGAACTGACGAATAATAAATAGGAACTGATTGCAAACACTGGTAGAGATAATGGGACATAAATTAACAGCCAGCTGTGTAACATGTAACTGTTTCAGTTCATCATTTGAAAGAACTGGAACTCACTCAAGATGCTTATTTTTGTCAATTCATTCTGGTGTAAAAGATGGATCTTTGGTAAAACACTCACTGTTTATTGTGATGGGACGTTGCCCCACTCCAGTCCTGGTGAACTAACTCTCATGGAAATCCATATAGCATTCAGTTCGACTCAGAAAGACACTTACTGGAGTATGGCACATGCCTGTTCCTGGGCATGTGTGTCTGGCATGATTGGCGCTCCTACTGCTGGCAGTGCCTGGACAGGCTGCCTCACAGTGCAATTCCTTTCCCATTCTTCCAGTTTCCCCCTAGCCTCTGTGAAAAGAGAACCAAAAGCAGTTGCTGTCAGCTGGTAGTAGTGGACCTCCATTGCTGCCTCCCCCCAATTCCAAGTCAAAGCCGCTTCAGGGCAGTGTGCTCCAGCGAGGGGGACCTGTAGGGCATCATATGGTCTGGCGGCGTGGGCTCTATTTAACGGAAATTCTCTGCAAGTGCTGAGTGTGTCAACTCTCTCCCAGCTTCTAAGAGGAATGCTGGACCAGTTCTTGGCTGTGACAAAGATGGTATCATATAGAAAGGTAAATGGATCAACAGTTAACATTGGATCGACTGATCACCTGATCGTCAGAGACCAATTTTTCCAAAGTATAGTCTCCTGTTTGGCCCTGTGTTTCGGAGCACTCTCTCTTGTGGGAAATGACATGGTTATGGAACTATGGGAGGCAGGGCTGGGAGATGAGGTGTCTGGTCAGGAGACACCAGATCTTTCCTGTCCATCTTTTTCATACGGCAACTGTCTGTAGCTGAGCCAGACACTGTGAGTCGTACATGATCCCACTGCGAGTCGTACATGATCCCACTGCGAGCTGCCCACATCAGCCTCATTTCTGAGCGAATCATTGAGACCACGTATTTCTGCATGTCCCAAGCACAGCCTGTCTCCAGGTTGGCTCAGCTCATCTGCTGCTGAAACCGTCATCCAAATCTGAGTTACCTCTGGGTTTGTCTGTTCCAATGCACCCCTGGCTGGTCTCCCAAGGTCACCTATACCTTTGTTACCAATCTCCTAACTTGCAAGTCTCATGCACCTATCACCCTCTGCTCACGGACGTAGTCTGGCTCCTGATTAGTTAACACCTCCATTTTCAAATTCTCAATCTATGTTTTCAGTTCCCTCAATGGCCTTGCATCACCCTATCTCTGTAATCCCCTCAAACCGTATAGCCCTCTGAGATGTCTGTGCTCCTCCAAATTTGGTCTAAGTAACTCCAATTTTAATTACTGTGCCACTGGGGGCACAGTAAGCTTTCCTGCTCCTCTGATGCTGCTTGGCCTGCTGTGTTCATCCAGCTCTACACCTTGTTATATCCTTTTCAATCCCTCTGGCCCTGATTCATGATCCACTCAGTTACATTGAGTTACAATCGGGGGCCCCCTACATTCTAGAACACTGCAAAACCATCTTGTGTTCCTACCAGGTTTAAAGGTTTGTGGATCTAAACAACTAAATCCATCTGTTCTGCTTTTTAAAAGAAATTTTCTACTCACTTTACATTAAATTACTATAGAAAGGATATTATTAAACTAGAGTATTGCAGAAAAGATTTACTAGAATGCTTCCTAGTCTGGAAGGCTTGAATTATAAGCAGAGGTTGAATAGGCTGGGACTTCTTTCACTGGAGCAAAGGAGAGTGATGGATGACCTTATATAGAAGTCTATAAAATCATAAGAGGCATAGATAAGGTAGATAGCCAACAGCTTTTCCGCATGAGAGGGGAGTCTAAAGCTAGAGGGCATAGGTTTAAGGTGAGAGGGGAGAGATACAAAAAGGTCCGGAGGGGGAATTTTTTCACACAGAGGCTGGTGAGTGTCTGGAACAGGCTGCCAGTGGAAATGGTGGAGGTGAGTACAATTTTGTCATTTTAGAATCATTTGAATAGGTACATGGATGGGACAGGTATGGAGGGGTATGGACAAAACGCAGGTAAATGTGACTTGTTTAAATGGTGAAAACTGAGCAGCATGGGCAAGTTGGGCCGAAGGGCCTGTTTTCATGCTGTAGACTCCTATGGGTCTATGAATTCCTAACCAACACCTATTTGCCCAAGCTACTAACTTGCCAGGTAACATGCAGCCTACTTTATGCTTCATTTTTAGGCCATCTGGAAGACTTTGACATTTCAGCTTCTAAACCCAAATCCAAATGATCTTTGGAGCCCGAGAATTTCTAGCCTTTCATTCTAAAATAATGCTCATTCATTGTTCTCCTGTGTTTCTGTCCTGCAAAATCTTCCCAGACCATATAGCAATTTGTATTAATAACAACATCACCATAATTCCTTTGATGTATTGCATGTCAATTTTATCAAGCTTTCAACATAATGTCTTTTAAGCCTGTGTACAATGTACAATTACCCCTGAGTTTTCCTGTTAGGATCCTTTTCTCCTCCTCTCCTGCTTGGAGCTGTTTAGTAACAGTGAGCAGTCTCTCTTCCAAAGCCACAATTGTCCGGGAATGCTGCCGGATTTGCTCCTTGAACTCTGACAGCTCATCCAGGTGACTGCGCCTCTCCTCTTCAATTTGACCCCTGAAGCCCTCGCTCTCGGCTTTCTGACGTCTCTGCTGAGCTTCCAGCTCCTCTCGCAAATCAACCTGTGGCAAGAGAGAGGGGTCACAGCAAAGGGACAGAGAGGTGGAAAAGTAACTGGAGGAAGAAAACAGAAAAGGAGGGTTCACACAACACACTGCAAGACAAGAGTCAGTACATTGGAGGTCCTGGCAATGAACCTTCAGAACTGCAATCGAATGAGTGGGGCTAGGCCTCAGTTCATTAATCGGCACTTGTGGAAGCAGGTTTCCTCTCACTCTATCAATTTCCCAGAGTTTGAAACCTACTGAATGGGTTCAGGGTAGATCCATGAATCATCCAGCAAAACATTGGGAATGCTAGAATGCGGTGTTCAATACTTTGATTAGGTGAGTCTGTTTACTATTGCCGCTCACTGTACTTGATCGATTAAGCTGGGGTTTGGACTGAGAAGCAGAAAAAGCTATAGAACAAGCTGATGCATGGACTAGATGTTTTAAAGCACTTTAAACCAAAAAATTGATGACTGTATCGGCGCCGCCTCGTGCTCCCACGAGGAGCTCGAACAGTTCATACACTTCACTAACACCTTCCACCCCAACCTTAAGTTTACCTGGACCATCTCTAACACCTCTCTCCCCTTCCTGGACCTCTCTGTCTCCATATCGGGCAACCACCTAGAAACCGATATTCATTTCAAGCCCACCGACTCCCACAGCTACCTAGAATACTCCTCCTCCCACCCACCTTCCTGCAAAAATGCTATCCCCTATTCCCAATTCCTTCGCCTCCGCCGCATCTGCTCCCAGGATGAGGCATTCCACTCCCGTACATCTCAGTTGTCCTCGTTTTTCAAGGACCGTAACTTCCCCTCCTCGGTGGTCGAGAACGCCCTCAACCGTGTCTCCCACATCTCCCGCACCTCATCCCTCACACCCCGTCCACGCAATAAAAACCAAAAAAGAATCCCCCTCGTCCTCACGTACCACCCCACCAACCTCCGGATCCAACGCATCATCCTCCGACACTTCCGCCATCTGCAATCCGACCCCACCACCAAAGACATCTTTCCCTCCCCACCCTTATCTGCTTTCCGGAGGGACAACTCTCTCCGTGACTCCCTTGTCCGCTCCACACTCCCCTCCAGCTCCACCACACCCGGCACTTTTCCCTGCAACCGCAGGAAGTGCTACACCTGCCCCCATACCTCCTCCCTCACCCCCATCCCAGGCCCCAAGAAGACTTTCCACATCAAGCAGATGTTCACCTGCACATCTGCCAATGTGGTATACTGCATCCGCTGTACCCGGTGTGGCTGCCTCTACATCGGGGAAACCAAGCGGAGACTCGGGGACCGCTTTGCAGAACACCTACGCTCGGTTCGCAACAAACAACTGCACCTCCCAGTCGCGAACCATTTCAACTCCCCCTCCCATTCCTCAGACAACATGTCCATCCTGGGCCTCCTACAGTGCCACAACGATGCCACCCGAAGGTTGCAGGAACAGCAACTCATATTCCGCTTGGGAACCCTGCAGCCCAATGGTATCAATGTGGATTTCACAAGTTTCAAAATCTCCCCTCCCCCCACCGCATCCCAAAACCAGTCCAGCTCGTCCCTGCCTCCCTAACCTGTTCTTCCTCCCACCTATCCCCTCCTCCCACCTCAAGCCGCACCTCCATCTCCTACCGACCAACCTCATCCCGCCCCCTTGACCTGTCCGTCCTCCCTGGACTGACCTATCCCCTTCCTAACTCCCTACCTACACTCACCTTTCTTGGCTCCATCCCCGCCTCTTCGACCTGTTTGTTTCCTCTCCACCTATCCTCTCCTCTATCCCTCTTCTATCCGCCTCCCACTCTCTCCCTATTTATTTCAAAACCCCCTTCCCCTCCCCCTTTTCTGATGAAGGGTCTAGGCCCGAAACGTCAGCCTCTCTGCTCCTATGATGCTGCTTGGCCTGCTGTGTTCATCCAGCCCTGCACCTTGTTGTCTCGGATTCTCCAGCATCTGCAGTTCCTACTATCTCTGTCCTATACTAATTGTCTCTGCACAGAACTGTAAGATATTCAACATAAACCATCCAGCAGTTCAAAAGGAGGATTTGTTAAATGGAGGGAAACATGCATTGCATAAATAAATACAGATGAGGAAAACCATTTGGCTCCAGGTGAAATTGAACTGCTTGTTAAATCATTCCAGGATTTCATCCTCAGCTATCCTACTCAGAGGATCAATGACATGTGGATTGCTTTGTTTGACGCAAGGTTCCCTCACAAATCCTAAATTTCTCTTCTGGTCATTTTTTGATAGAATCCCAACCATGTGGAAACAGGCCCTTCGGCCCAACAAGTCCACACCGACCCTCAGAGCATCCATCCAGACCCATCCCCCTATAACCCACCTCATCTACACATCCCTGAACACTATGGGCAATTTAGCCTGGCCAATCCACCTAGCCTGCCTATCTTTGGACTGTTGGAGGAAACCGGAGCACGAAGGAAACCCACACAGACACAGGGAGAATGTGCAAACTCCACACAAATAGTCACCTGAGGGTAGAATCAAACCCAGGTCCCTGGCACTGTGAGGCAGCAGTGCCAACCACTGAGCCACCATGCCACATTTGACTCCATGACCCCCATCTCCATCTTACTGTCACACTTTAGCTTCAAGAGACTTTGCTGTTTACTATTTCACTTAGTTTCAGCTGAAAGCGCCCATGCGTGTTAGACAATACCATACCTCAATCTTCCTCACTCCTTCCAGTTCTTGTGATGTGTTGCTCAGCTGCAGTTTCAGAGCCTCTGTCTCCTGATCCTTCACCTTCATATTCTGTGAACGAGAACACACAGGAAATGTGGTAACACCCACAGCAATCAGATACTCTCAGTCATAGAGTCATACCGCACCGAAACAGACCCTTCAGTCCAACCAGTCCTTGCTGAACATGATCCCAAAATAAATTAGTCCCACCTGCCTGCTCCTGGCCCATATCCCTCCCAACCCTTCCTATTCATGTACGTATCCAAATGTCTTTCCAATGCTGTAACTGTGCCCGCATCCACCTCTTCCTCAGGAAGTTCATTCCACACGCGAACCACACTCTGTGTAGAAAATTTGCCTCATGTCTTCTTTAAATCTCTGTCCTCCTACCTTTAAAAAAATGCCTGCAGTCTTGTAATTCCCCATTCTAGGGAAGAAACACCTACCATTAACCCTATCTATACCCTCACTGTTTTATAAACCTCCTACGTTCCAGTGAAAAAAGTCCCAGCCTTTCTTCATAACTCAAACCTTCCATACCCGGCAACATCCTGGTAAATCTCTTCTGACAGTAACATCCTTCCTATAACTGGGTGACCAGAACCGGACACAGAATTCCAGAAGATGCCTCACAGCTCAAGAGTGCTGGGTTTAGGAGAATGAGACCCCACCCCCAAAGGGGCTCCAAGAGCCATGCCTTAGTCCCAGTCTCATGCACTACTGCTACATTCCTCGGCACAGCATCTCCACCCCATGCATTGTTGCTGCAAGGCTGCAGCCCTCAGCTCCTGTGCATTGGTTCCAGCCAGGCTCCAGCAACACCCTGCCTCTCACCTCATTCAGTTCTTCAAGGTGCAGCTCCACTTCCTCTCGCCTCCTCTTCTCCTCCTCCGCTGCTTCTGTTCCCCTCTCTCTCTCCCGAGCCAGCGCCTCAGCCAGTTGCTGTGGGAAACACAGTACAGCTCATTAAAGCCTCACCCCATGGACATGGGACCGTCTGTTCACCACCTCCCACATCCGTCTGAAGGCACCCTCTGACCTGAACTCTGCCCCCAGATGTACCCTGGGCTCTCAGTCTGCAACAGAATTGTTCCAACAGTGAATAGAGATGGCACAGTGGCTTAGTGTTTAGCACCGCTGCCTCACTGCGCCAGGGACCCGGGTTCGATTCCACCCTTGGGTGACTGTCTGTGTGGAGTTTGTACATTCTCCCTGTGTCTGTGTGGGTTTCTTCCGGGTGCTCCAGTTTCCTCTCACAATCCAAAGATGTGCAGGTTAGTTGGATTGGCCATGCTAAATTACCCATTGTGTCTTGGGATTCGTAGGTTAGGTGGATTAGCCATGGGAAATGCAGCGTGACAGGGATACAGCAGGTGGGTGAGTTGGATGCTCTTCAGAGAGTCAGTGTGGATGTGTTGGGCCAAATAGCCTGTTTCTACGCTGTAGGGATTCTATGAAGGAGGCCATTTGGCCCATCATGTCAGCACAATCTCTGTGAACAGTGGGACTTCTTGCTAATTTCCTGCCTTTTCCCTGTAACACTGCTTCCATTTAAATCACGACCCCCAAAGCCCTCTTGAATGTCTTGATTAAACTACACTCCCAGGGAATGCATTCCATCCTTGATCTACGCTCTGTGTGAACCAGTTGTTTTTTTCTCACTTCCCATTTGCTTGCTTTAAACTGTGCCCTCCGTTTAGCAATCCATTTAATAAGTACAAACAATGTCTCCCTATCCATTCCCTCCAGGTCCCCCTTGATTTCAAACCCTTCCATCAAATCTCCTCTGAACATTCTCCTCTCCCAAGGAAACAGTACCACCTTCTCCAAACTTTCCGCTTGACTGAAATGGCTTGTCCACTTTTGTAAACCTTTTCTGCTCACTCTCTTTGATACATTCACACATTTTGCCTATGACAGAAGTTAGGTGAAGTGGTCTCTTGCTTCCTGTCTCCCTCTCGTTCTAACTACAGGAGATACATTACGCTATCTTCCAAACTGATGGGACTGTGCATCTATCAAAGCAATTTTGGGAAATTAAAACCAACACCACCACTTTTAAGACCCGAGAATGAAGTCCATACAGCTCTAAACTACAGTGTACCTCGGGCACTGCTCACCAGCCTCTCTCCTGCTCCTGTCACATCAAACATTCACATGCTCTTGACACTGATGCAATTGTAACACAGTGTGGAGCTGGAGGAACACGGCAGGCCAGGCAGCATCAGAGGAACAGGAAAGCTGACGTTTCGGGTCGGGACCATTCTAATGGAATAAAGGCTATTTGACTGGGCGAGGCAATCAGAGGCATGAAGACATGAAATTAAAACCTACAGCAGAGTTTGCAAATCAGGCTTATAACTTATTTTCTAATCCTGAGGGAACAGGGTTCTGGAATATTTTCTGAAGAAGGGTCCCGACCCGAAACGTCAGCTTTCCTGTTCCTCTGATGCTGCCTGGCCTGCTGTGTTCACCCAGCTCCACACTGTGTTATCTCTGACTCCAGCATCTGCAGATCTTACTATCTTTGTTGCAACTGTGCCTCCTTCTGAGTGATCTATGGTACATGCACGTATTCCATTCAGGTTTAACTTCTCCTGCATTATTGCTCAATCTGTAAAATCTCTGCCAGAATAACCGCTCCTGATCACCGATGGGACTACTGCCTATGTTTAAATGTGAAAGCTGGTGAGGATTGGCTAAGATCAGGTTCAGGTTTAGCAGCGAATTACAACACATTTTATCTGCACGTTGTTTCACAGCCATGCAGGTACTGTCAGAGGGCATCCCAGCAACAAACACTGTCCTCGGGGCAAGGACACATAGAAGTGGTACGTTAAGACTATCAGCGCAGCACTTTATGAATTCAAATCCCACCCACAGAACCACACGGCACGGTGGCTCAGTGGTTAGCACTGCTGCCTCACAGCGCCAGGGACCCGGGTTCAGTTCCACCCTCGGGCGACTGTCTGTGTGGAGTTTGCACATTCTCCCTGTGTCTGTGTGGGTTTCCTCTGAGTGCTCCGGTTTCCTCCCACTGTGCAAAGATGTGCAGAGAAGGTGGATTGGCCGTGCTAAATTGCCCATAGTGTTCAGGGATGTGTGGGTTAGATATGGGGAAATATTGGGTTAAGGGAGTGAGCCAGGGTGGGATGCTCTTCAGAACGGCCGTGTGGACTTGTTGGGCCGAATGGCCTGTTTCCACACTGTAGGGATTCTATGAACCAGTCATCAAATGACCAACAGGTAATTCCAGGCCACTTTATGGTTCATTCTGACTGGCCAGATACAACCCAGTGACATGCTTCCTGACGCTAAGCACAAGAGACACAGTCATGGGATTGATACCAATGTTAAAAGACGAGCAGAATAAAATCATGGAAACATGTAGACCCACTCTAGCATCAAGGCAAAGACTGTTTACCTGGTCGTGCTTTATCTGAATCTCTGCCTGCGAATGCCTTATCTCTTCTGCCAGCTGTCGCTCCCACTCTGCCCTCAGCTCAGTTAGCAGCTGCTGGCTCTCACTCTCCCGGGAGCTCTGCACCTGATCCACCTGTTCCTGGGGTGACATATTCAGGCAGTTAGGTTGCATTGGGTCAAAAGCCAGGTTGCAATATCCCAGGACTGAGCTGGAAGGCCCAGGAGGTAATGACTAATCTCCAGGACACAACTGCAGGCAGCAAAATCCTAGGGGCATGAAAAACAATCACCCACTCCTTCCAAAACTTTCAACTGTTGCTCATAAAAATAATTGGAGTTGGAGTGAAGGCTATTTGAGTGGGTGTGGCAATCAGAGGTATGAAGACATGAAATTAAAACCTACAGCAGAGTTCGCAAGTCAGTCTTATAATTTATTTTTCTAATCCTGAGGGAACAGGGTTCTGGAATATTGCTGTACCAGGCACCTTAGTGATTTTGGAAAGCATCTGTTGATATATGGTATTAAACTGCAGCCCCAGTCTCAATGTCTCAGTGAGTAATTACACTGCCAGTCCAGAACAGAGGCAGAAAAATTCAGGGAGGACTCAGATCCTGTCCAAAATCTATGGGGAGAAGCTGCTTGTCTGTAGGGGCAGCAAGGCAGATTGCTAACTGGTCTGAGAAAGATAGCATGATTACATACACAAACATAAATATTTCAGCTCCTGTGCTGAAATATGTCTGGGGACTAGGTAAGGATAGACACTGTGTATGCTCTGGCTCCCTGCTGCTGTGTGAGTCCATGTATTGGTTCCTGGTTGTGAACAGGGATGCATTATCAATTGCTGACTAAGGGCTTTGCTGGTCTATTCTAGAACGCTCGTATTGTACCTGCAATGATTTTATCTGCTCCTCTTCCCCATGAAGCTTCTCCTGCAGCAGCTGAAAGTATCCAATGATTCCTGCAAAGAAACAAAATAGAACAGGGTGACATTGCCCCCATTCTAAATAATGATTCATCCTTAACCTTCAGCCCTCCGAACTATCAAGTCCCAGGTTAGTCACTGCAAGTCTGCAGTTCCCTCAAAACTGTCCTGTCGATACGCCTCAAGCCTCACCTCGGAGAAGGGTGTTTCACAACATCTCATCTCCAACAAGAGAGAACTTAATACTCAACCCCCCACCAACACCCAACCCCCATCCCCCGGGATGATCACTGGCATTACCATCACCCAAATCTCCCACCATCAACATTCTGTGGATTATCATTGACCAGAAACAGGACTAGCTACGTAAATGCTATGGCTGCAAGAGCAGGTCAATGGCTGGGAATTCCACAGCGAGTAACTCACCTCTGGACTCCCCAAAGTTTCTCCACCATTCACTACACACAAGTCTGGAGTGTGATGGAATACTCCCCACTTGCCTGGATGAGTGCAGCTCCGACAACACTCAAGAAATTCAACGCCTTCCAGAACAAAGCAGCCCATTTGATCGATGCCTCAAACAGCTACTCCAATATTCACTTCCTCAGCCACTAACGCACAACGGCAACATTGTCTACCATGTACAAGATGCATTGAAGCAACTCATTAAGTAACTCTTCCAAACCGATGACGATGACAGCAGATGCAAGGGAACACCCCCAGCAGTAAGTTCCCCTCCAAGTCACACAGATCCTGATATTATTATCAGAGGGTCAAAATCCTGGAACTCCCTCCTTAACTGTGGGTGTCTTTACACCATGTGGATTGCAATGGTTCAAGAATGAGACTCTCAACTATCTGTTCAAGGGCAATTAGGGATGGGCAATAAATGACAGCAATGACCACAGCCCAAGAATGAACTGTTAAAAAAAAAAACTTGACTCCAAACATGGTTTTCAGGAGTGGCTTATGTTGCAGTTGTAATGGGAAAGGTTGGGGTCTAGCTATGACAAAGTAGTGAACCCTATTAGGGGTTACTATACTTCATCCACTTATAGGTTTAAACAGTTTTTTTATCTAATAAATCAGTTTATGGTTTTCCACAAAGTCTCAAGGATTCTCAGAGTAGAAAGGATCTCTTCCAGGTTTTTCACCCATTCAGAGGGTGAACCAAACCTTTACCCAGAATGGGACTCTGTTTTAACTGACCTCCCAAGGGTTGACATTGCAATGTCAGATTCCCTATGACACCAGCCCACCCCACCGTTAATGAACAATGTTGTCACCTCCTTCACAGCTGGATGTATCTATCCCAGCGTCCAATAGGCTCTGCTCTAACTGCTGTTGCCACGACAACATGAGGCTTAAAATGCCAGTGACCACTTCCTGTACCCAAAGAAGGCTCTGATCAATGGAGAGTCCTTGTAGCATCTCGAGTTCTTCCTTCACCTGGTTCCCAAAGTCAGTCCGCAGGCGGGCCTGGTGATAAATACAATTTACAGTCTGTGTTAAGAAAGCCCAGTCACTCATACCAACACAACTCTGTAACCTGCAGCAGGTGGAAGTAGCTCAGGTGAAGATGTGAAGGAAAAGTCTCCAAGAGACAGCCTGACAATGGGACACAGAGCTGTGACATTGTCAATAGGACCATCTAAAGCCCCAGGCAGCTCAGAAAATACTAACTGTGATGGCAGCAGTTGTTACTCACTCACAAGCTGTGGGTTCACATAATCCCTGAACCTAACTGTGGAGGAGATGAGTCTGTACCTTGTAACAAACTTGGAAAGTGTTATATCTTTACATTGTGTAAGAGTTTCCAATGTATGACTGTAAACTGGCAGCCTGCTTTATATATCTCTCCTGAATTCAATTTCCATCAACTTCAATGGAAACAAAGGGCAATGTTTCAGATCAATCCAATATCCATTCCAATGGATGACATTCCTGGGGGTGATACTGGAATGTTGGGCTGTCTTCGGATAGATGCCCTGGGGTAGGGAACCCTCTGGAGCAGGTCAGCTGATTGATGGGAGTGTCATATCCTTCTGCTGTTGCTCTGTCAATCATTTGCCAATCTGTGACCACCTTCCACACTTAGTTGGGCTGTTCATGATTTTCGGCCTGCACTGTCACATGGAGGGCAGAAGCTCACAGGGAAGTGTTACCCGCCCATTTGTAATGGCTGTAGCTCAGTTGGAATCACAAAGTCATGAGTTCAAATCCCACGCTAGGATATGAGCACAAAAATCAAGCCTAACACTTCCTTTGCAGTATTGAGGGAGAGCTGCAGTGTCAGAGGCACTGTCTTTTCAATGAAACGTTAAACCAGGACCCCACCTGACTGTTCAAGTGGATATAAACGTTATTTTGAAGAGGAGTTGGGGATTTATCCCTAGTGTCCTGGTCAATTTTTCTCCCTCAATCAATAACACACACGATAAAGGATTATCTGGTCATTACTACATTGCATATGTAGGGGTTTAACTTTGTGCAAGCTGGCTATTTGTTATATTAATTTGATTATATGAATAGATAAGTACTTCAATTGGTTGTAAAGCACCTTGAGACATCCAGTGAATTCAAGTCTTTCCTGCTTGATGCTGGTTGTTATGGATCAGCTTGGAGATATCTGGCTCTTGGCCAAACCTGAAGGGTAGAACCTGGCAATGGGTAGCCTGGGAAGGTGACCTGAAAAGCTTATGTTAGGTCAGGGCAATAATAAAGGGATATGGAACCCCAGCGGGCAGATGAATTTGACATATAGACCTGCCATGATCTGGCGGAATGGTGGGACAGGGTTCCAGGATCTTGTCCATCCTTCTCCTATGGAGAGACATTGGATTTTGATGTGAAGGCCATGATTTTTAATTCTGACACTGAATGGCCTCACAGTCAAAGGAACAAACTCAAGGGGTATGACCTCAGAGGGGCATTCAGAAGTGATGAGGCGATTCCCAAACAGGACTGATCATCTTCAAGCATTGCAAGGCTCCTCCAGAGGACCAGTGATGGAGGCTGTGTAATCTGTACAAAGGTTCAAAGGCATGGCTCAGTCAGGTCAGGAACTCCAGATCTGAACCCTAGTCAAGCAGTCACTTTGTGCATTGCAGCTAACCTCCATCTCATCCAGTGCTTTCCTCAGCCCCTCTGTGTTGGTAAGCCGTCTCTCCTCCTCCGAGACTTTCCAATCTAGTTCACCTTGTAGCTTCTCCTTGAACTCCTCCCGCTCATCGATAATCTGCTTCATCTGCTCAATCACCTGAAAATAAGAAACCCAGAGAAGGAGCTTCACAGAGAGTTGGCCCGCAATCCCCATCAGCAAGCTACAGCACATGGTGGAGAAAGACATAGGCTTCATGCACTGAACTAATCTAAGTGCGTCTCTGCCTCCCTGGCTTGATGTTCTGCTGATTGTGCTCCTGAGCTACACAGGCCTGGAAGTCCCAGGCTTTGTGGTCGCCTGAACTCAGGTCCTCCAATTGGCCTCAGGATCCCTGTGTTAGGGAAAAGGGATACATTCAACACACTTACTCAAGTTCACTATTCAATAAAACACAATGCTAGAGTGTGTGCATGTGGGATTGTGTGCGCGTGTGGGATAGCGCGTGCGCGTGGTGGGGGGACAGGAAAGGAGCAAAGAGGACGGGGCATAAAGAGACGTCAGCAAAACGTATAACGATAGTGTTGGTGAGATATGAGAGATCTGGAGGGAGACAGAAACTTTAGCAGAATCAAGGAGAATGTGTGTATCTGTGATGCTGTGTAAATAATGAGTTTTAAAGAAAGATTTAAGGAGGGGAATTTGAAAAATTCAAGCTAGTTAGACCCCATACACACAATAAAACATGCTGGCAGAGCTGGTGGCAGAGAAGAAAACAATAAAATAGGCATCAAATGCAACTACTGAAGTGAACCTTGTGGACAAGTGGAGAAAAAAAGGAAATGTTTCCAGACTCAGGATGTCATGAGTGCAGCCAAAGGCCAACGAATGGACCCAAAGACCAGGCAGCGGCGCATGAGCCCTGATCCAGGACAGGCACTGACTACAAAGGAACATTTGCAGAGATCAGCCCAGGCCTGAAGGTTGTGTTATCACTCCCAGAGCCATTCCAGTGATTGATGGGTCACCATCAGACTTGAGAATGGAAGGCTCAGAGCAAAGGATTGGCAAAGATATAGAACAGCTTCAGCCTTAGATTTTAAAAAGAACAGGGCTAAAGGAGTAGGTTACTGTACAGGACTATATATTACCATATGTGGTGGGGGACCATGTCAAACAAGGCAAGGCATTGATGAAAAACTGCACCATATGAACAATTATTGAAAACATTTAATGATTATATTTCTGAGTGAGGAGGAATTTAATCATTGAATGTGTAAATGTAATCAGGAAAAAGAAGCCTGGGGAAAGCGTGGATTTGTTTGTAAATTAACTTCGCCATAGAGCAGACAATTACTCACGAGAGAGGCTGGAAGCAGAATTAATTCAGGTTCACATTGTGCTCGGAGTTTCAGGAGCGACCTGGACACATCAGTGACAAAGCGGAGAGTTTTTGACACAAGGTGAAGCTGTACAGCTCATGAGGTAAATGAACCCCAGAGCCTCGGCGGGGCATTCTTTCGAGGGGAGAATGAAGCACCAAGGAATAAGAAATTTTTCTTTATTCATTCACAGGATGAGGGCATCGCTGGCTAGGCTGCATTTATTGCCCAGAGGGCAGTTAAGAGTCAACCACATTGCTGTGGGTCTGGAGTCACATGTAGGCCAGACCAGGTAAGGATGGCAGTTTCCTTCCCTAAAGGACACTAGCGAGCCAAGAGGGTTTTTCCAACAATTGACAATGGATTCACAGTCATCATTAGATTTTTAATTCCAGAATTTCATTGAATTCAAATTCCACCATCTGCCGTGGCAGGATTTGAACCCGGGTCCCCAGAATGTTATCTGGGTCTCTGGATTAACAGTCCAGCAATAATACCACCAGACCATCGCCTCCCCCAGCTAATGGGAAGAAAGTACACAAGAAGCATGGCCTGTCCAAACAGAGAAGATGGTGCCCACTGTCACTGGAAGTGTCCGAGACACAGACAGAATGAGCCACAACAGACAATTGCCCAACAGGATGGGTACAAGGTCACAAAGGCAGGACAGTGGCAGAGAGACAAGTTAGCAGAAATCCAACACAGACTACGGTGAAAAAAACAGAGAAAATCACTGAGACTAAAGCAGCTACAAGAAGCGGAAACAACCCACAAAACCAGGTTTAAAAAAAAAGGCAATTCTGGGAGAAATCAATGATTTTGGAAAAGAGTTCTGGAGTGTTAAACTGGAAATAAACAGACACAGCAAAGAGTTTGAACTCACCAACTGGGGCGAATGTCTCAGTTTCACCACAACTTAAATGGCTTAATTTAAGATTAAGTTACAGCCATCCTCAACGAAACTACAGAGGCCAGAAAGAGTATCATTGTGAGTAAAAGACCAACTCACAGCAAAGCTCAGTACGAGCAGGGAGAAATTACAGAATCTCTTTTTGTCACTTGTAATGAAAAACTCAAAATTAATGAATGAAGGTCAACAAAATTTCAGCTGCATATCTGGGAAGTGAATTACAAAGGGAATTCTCAAGATATTTGACACGGGTTTGGTGCAATTAAAGACAGATTCCAGATTACCCTCAGAGGTAACACAAAGCCATTCTGCGTCTCCACACAAATTGGAGTGCTACACTTATTCTTAGAGCAAGTTAAAGATCTAGATGCTATGCTGAGACAAGGGATAATTTCACTGATTATAGACCAGGTAAAGGGATGGTCAGGAATGGTGACAGGACCAAAACCTAATGATCGAGAAAGAATTTGCCCAGATCTAACTCAATCGAAGAAAGCAATGGCACGTGTGATAGGCTCAATGTCTGTATTCACAAAACCAGTCAAGAGTACCCCATTTACTAAAGTAGATGCTAACACAGGATTCTAGTTGAAAATTCCAGAAAGCTATCTTTATTACACCTTTTGGACATTGTTACTTCAACAGGTTACTCTTTGCAATAGTATCCACAACCTATCCCGGTTCCAAAGAACAACGTTAAAATGTGCTGATGGTGGAATATGTCGCATGGAGCCACAATGAAAGGACATGTCCAAAGTATTAGAACATGCATGGAAGTGCTTCTGAATGCAGCTCTAAAGTTCAATGAGAAGATGGGTTTGCTCAACTGCGAATGACATTCCATGGGCACTTGTTTCAAGTTACTGGTCTCACAGTTCAGCCCCACCCCTGCCCTAACAAAGTCACCATCGCCAACCATCAGAAATTCCTTGGGTGATAAACCAGGGGGAGAAAAGGTTCTGCCAAACCTAGCAAAAGTCAGTGTGTTTGGGACAGAAATATAGGATTGTATGAATGTGCCTCCTGGTTTTATGTAGACACATGACATCTACCATGTGGCATTAACTGGGGACTGCCATCATTCAATCAGGTTCATTAAAGGTACAGGAAAGTAAAGACTGTTGTCTTTAGAGTGCATAACATGGCATCAGGAAGGGAGTGTTGAACAGCTGTTTAAAAAAAAAGCAGAGCTACTGAGGTAGGAATGTTCTCAAGTAGATCTCTTCACACTCACAAGAAATGGTTAAACTGCGACTGTTGATCCCTCTTCTGAATACTGTAAGGTGGGCCTGCCTACTTTGCCAAATGCCTGAAAGGATACTTCAGCTGTTCCAGCATTCCTGACACTGTGATGAACAAAGAATTCAGCCGCTCTGTAAAGGATTGGGAAATGCAACACTGCACATCATCTCCGTACTATCTCCAGTCAAACAGAAAGGCTGTGGCAGCAGTGAAAAGGATGAGGTAGGCCTGATAAATTAAGCTGCATTTATTACAATGCAAGTGGCCTAACAGATAAGGCAGATAAACTCAGGGCATGGTTGCGAACGTGGGACTGGGATGTCATAGCAACTACAGAGTTGTGGCTCAAGGATGGACAGGACTGGCAGCTTAATGTTCCGGGGTATACAAGCTATAGGAAGGACAGAAAGGGGAGCAAGAGAGGAGGGGGAGTGGTGTTTTTGATTAGGGATAACATTACAGCTGTATTTAGGGAGGATCTTCCTGGGAATACGTTCAGAGAAGTTATTTGGGTGGAACTGAGAAATAAGAATGGGAGATTCACCTTATTGGGATCGTACTATGGACCCCCGAACAGTCAGCAGGAAATTGAAAAACAAATTTGTAAGGAAGTCTCAGTTATCCGTGGGAATAATAGGGTGGTTATGGTAGGGGTTTTAATTTTCCAAACATAGACTGGGACTGCGACAGTGTTAAGGGATTTGATGGAGACGAATTTGTTAAATGTGTACAAGAAAATTTTCTGATGCAGTATGTGGACATACCGATTCGAGAAGGTGCAAAACTTGACCTACTTTTGGGAAATAAAGCAGAGCAAGTAACTGAGGTGTAAGTTGGGGAGAACTTTGGGGCCAGTGGCCGCAATTCTATTAGTTTTAAAATAGTGATGGAAAATGATAGACTGGATCTAAAAGTTAAAGTTCTCAATTGGAGGAAGGAGAAAGTTTTGAAAAGTGAATTGGAGGCCATATTCGCAGGTAAAGAGACAGCTGGAAAATGGGAAGCATTTAAAAATGACATAACAATAGTCCAGAGACAGTATGTTCCTGTTAGGGTGAAGGGCAAGGCTGGTAGGTGTAGGGAATGCTGTATGACTAGAGGAATTGACGTTTTGGTCAAGAAGAAGAAGAAAGCGTATGTCAGGTATAGGCAGCAGGGATCAAGTGAATCCCTGGAAGAGTATAAAGGCAGGAGGAGTATACTTAAAAGGGAAATCAGGAGGGCAAAAAGGGGACATGAGATAGCTTTGGCAAATAGTGTTAAGGAGAATCCAAAGGGGTTCTACAAATACATTAAGGACAAAAGGGTAACTAGGGAGAGAATAGGGCCCCTTAACGATCAACAAGGCCACCTATGTGTGGAACTGCAGGAGATGGGGTAGATACTAAACAACTATTTTACATCAGTGTTTACTGTGGAGAAGGATATGGAAGAGAGAGAACGTGGGGAAATAAATAGTGACATCTTGAAAATTGTCCATATTACAGAGGAGGAGGTACTGAACGTCTTAAAATGCACAAAGGTGGATAAATCCCAGGGACCTGATCAGGTGTACCTTAGAACTCTGTGGGAAGCTAGGGAAGACATTACTGAGATATTTGTATCTTTGATAGCCACAGGTGAGG